GCCACAGGTGCCGAGCCGATTACGTCTTGTTTTAGGGGCCCAGGCTGGGGATTCAAACCCGCCACCCTAGGTGTACGTGGCTGGCGCCTTAGCCGGTTGAGCCACAGGCGCCGAGCCAGTGACTTCATTTCTTTGAATCTCAGTTTCCTCATCTGTGAAATGGGGTTGATGAATGAAATACATTATATATATATAGTCATATATGGTAGTTTTGAGCATTCCATGAGTACCTGTCCACTTGGCACGTAGCTGGTAGTAAATACAGCATGCTCATTCTCTGTATGTTCTTGGTCCCCTGTGAATTGTGGCCTGTGATATGATCCCCTGTGAATTGTGACCTGTAATATGAGTGTATATGATATCAGCTGTTTTTCTAAGAGGAACCAGGCTCCTTGTTGCTTCCGACATGCTGACTTTCCTCACCACTCTCTGTTCTTCTTTCTAGAGAGTGGGGGTAGGGGAGAGGAGCTCTCTGTGGGAACAGAGGGTAAATAAAGTTGTTGGGGTCTTTCCATCCAGATATGATGACTACGATTATGGGGAGGTGAACCAGCTCCTGGAGCGGAATCTCAAGGTCTATATCAAGACGGTGGCCTGCTACCCAGAGAAGACCACTCGAAGAATGTACAACCTTTTCTGGAAGCACTTCCGCCACTCAGAGAAGGTACAACCCATGCTGAAAGAGCAGGATGGAAGTAGACAAGCCCAGCTAGTAGAGAGGACAAGGGATCAGGACCCATCGAAGGGCTCCATATTGAGTGTCCTGCCAGGAGGGACACCTGGATCTGTTGTCCTGGATTCAAATCGCTGTGTGATTTCAGATTCACTTTACTTAACTAAAAAATGAGGGTGCCTACCTCACACGGTCTCCCTAGTGGTAGCTTGATAGATCTGGGTTCAAATTGTAACACTATCGCTTGGTAGCAGTGTGACTTTGAGCAAGTCATTTTGCCTCTCTGAGCTTTTTATCCTTATTATGGGAGTAAGGACTGCTGTATTTCAAGGTTGTTGGGAGGATAAAATGAGAAAACATATGTAAACTTGATTCCTGGTAGGTGCTTAGTTAGTGGTAGCTCTTGTTTTTAGCTTTCAGGAGTCATGACAGGGATGAATGTGCTTGAAATTCTTTTTTTTTTTTTTTGCCATTTTTGGCTGGGGGTGGGTTTGAACCTACCACCTCCAGCATATGGGGCTGGTGCCCTACCCCTTTGAGCCACAGGCGCCGCCCTGTGCTTGAAATTCTTCAGCAGTCCTTTCACTAAACTGCCCAGAGCTTTAGCAAAGCTTAGGGCATTTCTGTAGGAAACGGAAGGATAAGGTAAGTGGCCAGGGATTAGGGAAGTCTGGGAAGGGTAGGGGTGGCAGGAAGTGATATCAGTTGCTAACAGGTCCTCATCTGCACCCCAGGTCCACGTGAACTTGCTGCTCCTGGAGGCCCGCATGCAAGCCGCTCTCCTCTATGCCCTCCGTGCCATCACCCGCTACATGACTTGACTCCCTGTCATGCAGGACCTGGCCTGGAGCTGCTGACCCTTGGGGCATCCTCTTCCCTGCAAGGACTTCTCTGTCTGGAAACAGACACAGACCCCTTTGTGTCCCATGCCCACCAGTCCACTCTGGCATGGGCTTGTATGTAATGTGCAGCCCCCAAGCCACACCCTCCTTTTTCTCACTGGAATAGACAGGATCATTGCACTGACTGGGAGCTAGAAGAGGACTAGGAGATCCCAAAGGGCCACACCCTTCCTCCTCCCCCTGCCCCCAGAGGCAGAGAGATCATAGGAAGGAAAATAGACTTGAGTTTGGACTTACATGCTACAGTACTGTGACCTTCCTGGACTTGGAAGTCCTTGGCTGGTCCCCAAGAGAGAGGAGCAAACAGCTCCAGGGACTGACACTCCAGGCAGCTTTGCCTTCCCTCCCTTCTCATTTCCAGATTTCATTACCTCCCACTTACCATTCACCCATCAATGTGAAAGTCAAGGTCACAGCTGGTCTGTGTATCCAGTTCCCCAGAAGTCTGTTCTGTTGGGTGGCTTGTGGGCCCCTCGTTCCCTGGTTGCCCAGGACCTAGTTCAGTTCTTTGGACTTCCTTCACCCTCATCCTTTTCTCCGTGCCCAGTAGTATGAGTCCTTAGGAGAAGCTCAAGTACATCAAACAAGATTGTCTTTAGAGAGTTTGAGCCTCTGTTGGTCACTTGGCTGTCTGAAGAGGAAGGAGTAATTTCTCTATTTTGGTCCTTAAATGGTAGAAGTTCAAACCTCTTCAGGGCCTCACCCCTGGAGCTGCAGTCAGCGTGAAAGGAGAGAGAGAATCCTGTTCTCCCACCACACCTGCCATGCAGAGGCTGGCACCCCACTCTCCTTGCTCCAGGGGCTGTGCTGCAGATGTTTGCCAAAAAATTGAGCCTTTTTTTAGGTGGCTTAGTTAGGACTGTGGCTCAGCAGGAGACACCAGGGTTCTTGTGGGGGACCCTGCCACTAGCCAAGTGACCATAGCTACATTGCCAAACCTTTTGGACCACCACAGTTGCAGACTGTAGGGTGTGTTTTAAGTTTCTACAATGTCTGATGCTGTCCCCTGGATTCTCAACCTGCCAACAGCACGCAGATTTTCTAGCAAGATCTTAAAGGCCTCTGGGACGCCCACTCCCAACTCCTGCAGTTAGTCTCTCCCAAGGACCCCCACCCCTACCCCTTCTCCCTCTGTCCCCTCTCCTGGATTTTTAAGTGGATTGCTTGGAGGCAGAAGCAACCAAGAACTGATCCAGGCACCTTCTGTAGCAAATAACTGTGAATGATGACGTCTCTTACCTGTATTCTAGCAGTCTGTGCCTCTCTGACCAGTCTGGAAGGGACTGAGGATAGGCCAGAACCATGCTGCTGCTACTCTTGTTCCTGTCCCTCCTCTCTGGGCAGGCAGGAGAGGAGCCCAGCCAGCATCCCACATCTCACACCCGTGCAGGCACGGAGAAGCAACTGGCACCCCCTTCAGGCCTGAAAGCCTTCTCTGTAACCTGTGCAGGACAGAAGGGGCCTCAGCACCTTGGGGTTGGGTTCTAGAGGGGACATGAAGCCTCTGTCAATGTCTCCTGGGAGGGTGGGGAGAGGTGTTCAGTGTTCAAGTGCAGAAATCTTTGGCTTTATTACCGGTTCCATATGATGAGAAATAAACATTTGCTGAGGTTTTGTTTTGTACTCCTTGTTAATGGGCTGTTTTCCATTTCCTGAAGGTCATGGTTCACCTCATGGCACAGGCAGGGAACTGTGACTGCATCACAGTCATGACCTGATACCCCCCACCCTGCTTGGATACTTGTGCCCAGTGATTCCAAGGTTGGGAATATTGGCATTGAAAGTCTACTACTGTCTATCCAGCCCTACCACCCATCTGTGGCTGGCCTGACATTGTGGGCTGAAGACATAGAAACCATTTCTCTGATCCTGCAGCAATCCTGCAAGAGAATTATGACTCAGAATGAAGTGGCATCGCTGAGGCCACATAGCTAGATCAGTGGGGGAGCACAGATTCCTAGCAGGGTCTACTAGACCCTGAGACCTTGGCATTGCTGTTTTTTCCACTGCTGGGCTTCCCCTGGGACAGAGGAAGGCTGTTTGAGAATGCAAGGGGGGGAATTCCTCATCCTTGTGTCTCTCCACCCCACCATGTTATGATTACCTGCTTTTCATTCTTCACTCTCCAGCATCAAGGAAATAAAATCAGGCTTCGAAAGTTACATACAGGCTCAGCACCTGTTGCTCAGTGGCTAGGGCGCTGGCCACATATACTGGGGCTGGCGGGTACAAACCTAGCCCGGGCCAGCTAAAAGAACAATAACAACGGCAACAAAAAATAGCCAGGCATTGTGGCAGGCACCTGTAGTCCCAGCTACTTGGGAGGCTGAGGCAAGAGAATCACTTAAGCCCAAGAGTTTGAGGTTGCTGTGAGCTGTGATGTCATAGCACTCTACCAAAGGTAACATTGAAACTGTCTCAAAAAAAAAAAAAATTTTAGATGCAACCCCCAAGTTGAGCCACTACCATTTATAGCTGTGTGACCTTGGTCAAGTTTTTTAACTTCTCTGGGCACCAGAAACTAGTATGCTTATCAGGAAAACCACATCGTGACTAAGAGCTAAGGCCTCTCCTGCTGGCTTCCCACTTCCTCTAAATGCTGCCAGCATAAAATAAAAACTGGTTCTCCTACAGGAAGCCTCCCCTGATTAACTGTTCCTTTTTTCCCTTGAGATAGCATTTCATCTTTGCAATATTACTATACACTCACCCGTTCCTCTAGTGTTATTTGAGAGGATATGGATCATACTTGGAGTATAAAACTTGGATTCTGGTCCTGATTTAGCCACTGACTATCTCTGGGAGTACTGATTAATTTCACTCAAGTTTCCTCAGCCATAAAAATGGGGGTAAAAGATGTCCATTTCTTTTCCAGGTAGCGTTTATGGAGTGTGACCCTTGCTCTGTGTTTTCAAACATAATCTCCCAGCCCTCACAGCAACTCTGTGAGAAAGGGGTGGTGTTCCCATTTTACAGATGTGGAAATGGAGACTCAAATGAGAATCTAGGGAACACCGACTGAGCCGTTAGACAGACCCAGGTTCGAATTCCAGCTTTGATATTTAATATCTGTCTGACCATGAGCAAATTACTTCAGTTTTCCCTCCTCAATTTCCTTATTTGTGGAATGGAATTAATGCTTAAGGTCACAGGAAGGTTATAAGGATTAAATAATGCATGAAAACCACCCAGCACAATTCAGGTACCTGGCATCTGGCACCTAGTGAGCTGTTCAGTATTCCGAAATTTACCCAAGGTGACAAGGTAAAATTAGACTTCTTTTAGCCTGTAGTCCAAGACTGGGGCACATCTTCCCAAACCTGGAGTTTGCAAAAGGATGCCGATGGCACCTTTCTTTTGCCTTTGAAGCTATGCTTGTTTTGAGGAATGCTGAGTGTGAGTAGAAAAAGGAGTCAGGTTGAGCCTCTTCCAGCAGGTTTCAAACATCCAATGGAACCCTAGGGCAGGTAGATTGGAGAAGGGTTCACAGACATCTTTACACCTTAGACCAGTGTTTTTCAACCTTTTTTTTATCTCACAGCACACTTGAACCTAAAGTTAGATTTCTGTGGCACGCTTAAATTACGTTGATCCAAAAGAAGTTAAAAAAAAAAAAACACCAAAAAAAGGAATATATTTACTGTGCTTTGAATTTCTTTTGAAAATAATGATTTAAAAAATTTTTTCTGGCTAAGATCCTCTCAGCACATCAGTGTGCTGAAGCACACCAGTTGAAAAATCACTGCCTTAGGCTTTCCTAGAGGACCAGTGGTTGGAGGCAGAGCTCAGAAATTTGCATTTTTTTAGAGACTCACTTTATCGCCCTCGGTAGTATCCTGGCATCACAGCTCACAGCAACCTCCCAACTCCTGGGCTTAGGTGATTCTCTTGCCTCAGCCTCCTGAGTAGCTGGGACTACAGGTGCCCACCACAACGCCTAGCTATTTTTTTTGTTGCAGTTTGGCTGGGGCTGGGTTCAAACTCGCCACCCTCAGTATATGGGGCCCATGCCCTACCCACTGAGCCACAGGCGCCGCCCAAGAAATTTGCATCTTTAATAACTTCCTTTGTATTCATTCATTCAACAGGTGTTGGGCACCTAGTATGTAACATGCGCCAGAGATTCAGCACTGAAGGAGACAGACATAGTTTCTGCCCCCTTGGGATTTATGGTCAAGTGGGTGAGACAGCCCTTAGATCATTACACAACTAATTATTTAAATTACAATTGTGATCAGAACTTCAAAGGAGAAATATGAACCTCTGTAAGTTGACCACCTAAGGGACTGTAACAAACTGGTCAACATACAGTGGTAGTTGACATAAGGAATTAGGCCTGCTGTACTGATAGGTACATGTGGTGCATGTCTGGTGTAACAAAATTAAGTCAACTTAAGGAGGTGGCCAATGTAGGGAAGTGGTCAACTTTTGCAGAAGCTCTAACACATCTAAGGAGAGTGGTTTCCCACCCACTGAAGCATCTTTTTTTTTTTTTTTGAGACAGTATCACTATGTCACCCTCAGTAGAGTGCTGTGGTATCACAGCTCACAGCAACCTCAAACTCTTGGGCTTAAGCAATTCTCTTGTCTCAACCTGTCAGGGAGCTGGGACTACAGGCATCTGCCACAACAGCTGGCCACTTCCTGTTGCAGTTGTCATTGTTGTTTTAGCTGGCGCCAGGCCGGGTTGGAACCAGCCACCCTTAGTATATGTGGCTGGCATCATAACCACTGTGCTACGGGCACCAAGCCCCAACTGAAGCATCTTCTTGGAACCTGAGGGCTCCATAAAAGAGTTAGAAAACTAGGCTCGATGCCTGTAGCTCAAGCAGCTAGGGTGGCAGCCACATACACTGGAGCTGGCAGGTTTGAATCCAGCCTAGCCTGCCAAACAACAATGAAAGCTACAACTTAAAAATAGCTGGGTGTTGTGGTGGACGCCTGTAGTCCCAGCTACTTGGGAGAATTAGGCAAAAGAATCACTTAAGCTCAGGAGTTTGAGGTTGCCGTGAGCTGTGATGTCACAGCACTCTCCCCAGTGCCACAGCTTGAGACTCTCTCTCTCAAAAAAAAAAAAAAAAAAAGAGTTAGAAAACACCTCATCAACATTGCTCTGAAGTGGGTGCTGTGGTGTGCCATCTAGTCTGTGGCGCTCTTTCGTTCTCATACCCCCCAATCCATCAGAAGTGTTGAGGGCTGAAGAATTTCAGTTGCATCCCTCTCTGGGAGCTGCCCTGGGTTGAAAGGAGTAACTTAGCTCTTGGTCATACACCCCCAGGCAGTCTGCCTCCAGTGATTGGTTGGCAGGACAGGAGAGTACAAAGGCCTGGCTCTTATGCTTCCATTCAAAATAAATCTAAAGGCTTAGTCCAGCTCCAGCGCCTACACTAGGATGAGCTGAGTCCTAAGTTGCAGGCACCTGTCGCCCAACTTCTGCTTCTCACTGTCTTATGTTACAGATCCCCAATAAATCTTCCATATACAGATTTCTATCTTAGCATCTTCTTACCAGGGTACTGGATATAAGAGGTTCTCCTATTACAGGTGGTGACGGAAAATAAGGTCCAGTAGGCCGGGCATGGTGGCTCATGCCTGTAATCCTAGCACTCTGGGAGGCTGAGGCGAGTGGATTGTCTTGAGCTCACAGATTGGAGACCAGCCTGAGCAAGAGAGAGACCCCATCTCTAAAAATAGCCGGGTGTTGTGGCTGGCGCCTGTGGTTCCAGCTACTTGGGAGGCTGAGACAGGAGAATCGCTGAGCCCAAGAGTTGGAGGTTGCTGTGAGCTATGATGCTATGGCATTCTACCAAGGGCAACAAATGAAACTCTGTCTCAAAAAAAGAGAGAGAGAGAGAGAAAAGAAAACAAAGACCAGAGAGGAGAAATCACCTGCTTGAGGTCTTATAGGCCTGAACCCTCAGATGTAGACTCTGTGCCAGAGTCTACAACTTCCTGCCATTCTCTTGCTGAGTATGCAGGCAACCACCGAAATGGCCAGAACAGGTTCTCACTCCGATGCTGGGGGACCTTGGGCAAGTCACTTCCTCTCTCTGGAGTGAAGGTTAAGTACCGCCTCTGTGCTCATCTTCTTTGAAGTCCGCCTCTGTGTGATGTCCCTGCTCCTAAGAAAAACCACATCTCAGCTGGTTATGTAGCAGAAATTCCTTCTGTTATACCTGAAGCGAGTGGAATAGAGAAAAGCCAGCACACTGAGTCCAGATTAAGCAAGGGTCTTTTATTGATCAGCCAGGCCAAGAGCAGGCTCACACCTCAAAGTCTCTTGACCCCTAGAAGCAGGGAGTGGAAACCTTTAACAGGGGTTTTTGGTAGGGGCAGGGGAATCCTTAATGAAGCCGAATTTCACAGGCGCCGCCTGGTAAGGGGACTCCTTACAAGGGGAAGCTGGGGTTTTGCAGTATTACTGAACTCTTTCAGCTGAGCTTCCTGTCTTAAAGGGGGAGTGTTGAAAGCCCCCAGCAAGATGGAGTTGGGGCATAACACTTCTTCCCAAATCCAACCAAACCTCACAGTTGGTTCCTTTCAGTGGAGAGCAGGCAGGAGACTTGGTCTTCTGTCTCATTTCTGAGCATTCAAACTCACATTTCAAGAAGGATAACTC